ATCTATCTATCTATCTATCTATCTATCTATCTATCTATCTATCTATCTATCTATCTATCTATCTATCTATCTCAATCTGTTTCTATCTACCTATCTAGTTAAGTCTATTCATATCTATCTATCTATCTATCTATCTAGTTGAGTCTATTCATATCTATCTATCTATCTATCTATCTATCTATCTATCTATCTATCTCAATCTGTTTCTATCTATCTACCAATCTAGTTAAGTCTATTCATATCTATCTATCTATCTATCTATCTATCTATCTATCTATCTATCTATCTTTTTGGTTGCGAAGAGTTTAGTAATTTCCACTTTGTCTCAACAGTTATGAACTTGATAAAATAGATTGAACGAAGTCCTGGTGACTTGGATCATGGTTAAAAAATCTTGACTGTTTTGTATACGAACAGTCGCCATATTTAGTCTGATCAACACAAAAAATTTACTATTTTGAAAAGCTCCCGAAGGCTACACTTGCTCGCGGCTATCAATCCGTATTTTTTTTTTTTTTGAGGTTGTTATTTAAGTTTACAATAAAGTTAGGATTTTAAATCTTGATATTTTAGTTAGGCAAACTATTTTTCACGCAGAATACACACACACATACATATGTATAAAATATTTTTATTATAAGTGATTATAATAAAAACATGTTGAAATCGCTACACAACAGTTTTTATGTTTCAATATTATGATTGTACTTCTTCAGGCGACGGTAAGTAACTAATGATTAAATGATTTTTAAGGAAATTTAAAAACAAAGTGTTACCTCTTTTCCGAAAGTTAATGGGCGGACATAAGGTCAGAATTAAAAATAGACTTGTGGGTATGTTTTGATTAACCAATTAAATGTTAGATCTACGCTAAATAGAATGGATTTGAACCTTGAACTGATTGGTTGTTGCTCAGCTGGACCCAAGTTAAAGTACATTACCAAGCCCAACAAATCTACAGTTCCAGAAATATTATGGATAGTAAGCTTACACACTACACAGATAGTTTAAGGGATCTTTTGGCAATATTTGGCGTTATCATCCATCTTGATAATTGCCTAAATTGCTCATTGTCAAACACTCATCTGTCCTTAAAGCGTTTCTGGCTTGGCTCATAGTAATACCCTCAAATATTTCGTTATCTTTCCGTCAGGATTTCATTATTATTTTTTATTAAATTAAATTAAAGATGGATGCTGGTTCATTGCTTTTTATAATCCATCATTTCATATAAAAATGAAAATCATGGAACCGCGAAAATATCTTGTAACCGAAGAACACGGCCGGCTTATTTGCCCATTGATTCATAAAATGTTGCGATAAAAAGCCCAAACTCTTCATATGACTTGAATTAACATGGAAAGCTACTTGCGGTTCATCAATGTTTGCAAATATTCTCTGGTAATAGACATATGCAAGGACAAAATAGACATGGACGTCATTGACAAGGCTGCAAAATATGTTGTGAAAATGACAATAAAAAATATTTAATTATCATTCCGGTAAAATAAATTTTGTAAAAGCGGAAAGTATTCCAAAAGATTATTTTAGAATAAAAAAAAATGAAAATCATCGCTGCTTGATTTGCAACAGAATTGCACTTTTCAAGACGAGATCACATTAATTAATTAATTACTCAAAGTTTTCATTTTCACTTCTGTAGATTTAAATAAAAGATAAACATTGAACTAGAACTGTTTTGGATTTTTTGGTTAAAAATTTTGTCTTTCTTACGTCAGAGGGTGGACCAAAGATTAGTATCGGATATTTTAGCGTCTTTTTTGGCGTCAAAAACACATTGTTTTGGAAATTTTGGCAAAAATGTCATATTTTAATGAAATTTTCAGGATTTATTCACAAATAAATGAAATTCTTTTTTTTTTTTTACATATGTTACCTCCTCTTACATATTTTTATGAAATTTTGAGAAATTATAATTTCAGCCTCTTTGTATTTATATTAGATAAAAGTAGGAATCATTGGAAAACATAAATCATCAATTTGTTTTTGTCAAACAGAAACTCCATTTACTGAAAATCTGCTCTGAATTGCAAAATAAAAAATTCAATAAAACTATGACATTATTTAATTAGAAAAGCTTTCAATTGCTTTTATAAATAATATCTATTAAGGACACTGTTGTGTTAAGAAAAAAAATCCGATCAATAATTAATTTTTACGAGAATTTTCAGTTAGAAAACTTATTAAGTTTTAAATCTTTAAAATTCTATATTAATTTCAGCCTTTGAGATGATATTATTATTAAGTGAAAACTATATTTACTAATCTTAAATGGAAAAGCTTAATAAAAATTATCAAATACTAATACTTTTTTTTAAATTTTGATTTTTTTCTATGTATATAAACGTGACAATTTTTGTAAGTATGGGGGACCTTATATGATATTACCAGAAAATAAGGGCGTTAACTATGTTAAATTTAAAGTGAACATTTCTAAAATTCAATAAAGCATTCAATTTCAGAGAATATTTCATAAATTTTTAATATTACTAAGTGCTTAAAAAAGGCGCTCGCGTAAATTTCTGAAATTATGTTTTACAGATAAATTCTCCTTAGAACAACGTAAGATGTTATCAGGCAGTTAACACGTCAAAACGGCAACTGTCAGGTTAAAAACACTGCACCTGTCGGGTTAAAAAAAATTTCTACGTTATTTTAAACTTAAATAATATTTGTTTTAGATCAGATTAATTATACTTAAATCAACTAATATTCTTCAAATAAAGTTACATATAAGTTACATATAAATTACATATAAATTATATATGAATTGCATATAAATTGCATATGAATTACATATAAATTACATATGAATTACATATAAATTACGTATGAATTACATATAAATTACATATGAATTGCATATGGATTACATATAAATAACATATGAATTACATATAAATTACATATAAATAGCATATGAATTACATATAAATTACATATAAATAACATATGAATTACATATAAATTACGTATGAATTACATATAAATTACATATGAATTACATATAAATTACATATAAATAGCATATGAATTACATATAAATTACATATAAATAACATATAAATTACATATGAATTACATATAAATAACATATAAATTACATATGAATTACATATAAATTGCATATAAATTACACATCTATTTTAGCTCTTGCTGCTGTTGAAAATCCTCACAACTGATTACGTTTCTGTTGTTCGGTACAGTTTTTTGTTTGTGATTCTGTAGCGCCTGTCCAAGCGGAAGAACAATTCTAATAAAAGTGATTGTTTCATCTGAGAATTTGAGAATGCATCGGATAAAACGAAGTGATGAATTCGGTAAGGAATTGAATATCAGACTAAAGAACACGTTTAATAATTATAATTGATTTACTTGACTGTTATATATACCTATGTAACCAGCAAATATTTGAATATTAGTTTGAGGAAATCGTGAAATAATGATAATTGATTCCTCTTTAAATCTTAAAATAGCTCGACTATAACGGTGCGATAATCTCAGCAAAGATTCCTGCATTCATTTGAAGAATGGACACATTATTATCAGAGCGCTTGAAAAAAGTAACAAAGAGTTTAATAAAACATTTGTAGAAATAGAAATCTAAGAAAGTAAGGAAACGATCCCAGATTCTAATTTGGAACTACTTGAATTGAGTGGTCCGCTCGTAAGAGATGGGGTAGTATTTGGGGATAGGGAATAATTTTTTATAGATTAGCATTAATTAGATCTTTTTCAAGCCATGACATTTATTCGAGATTTTTTTAACACTTTACACGGAGGAGCCATTTGTAATATAAATCCAGCGCCGAATCGGCCCCTAACTTTTTAAAAGTGTTACCTGTACTTTGTTTTTATTTACAAATGTTAAGTTCGAAACTCTGCTTACGTTATTGATAATTATATTCTTCTGACATTTTCCCCAATAGTGTGCAGTTATCAATGACGTAAGTACACTTATCAATGACGTAAGTAAAGTTTCACATTTGTAAATAAAAACAAAGCACAGATGACGCTTTCAGTTGTCTGGGACATATTTGATATTTTATTTATATTTTGGGGAGACGCCTCCACTTATAAAATGTAAAAAAAATCAATATTTTCGATCCTGACAAATTCCATGAGGAAGGTTCAATGAAGGCTAAGTCTGCAAAGAATATTCCCCACCACCAAAATTCTTCCATTTTCTTTTTTTTAACGAGCGAACCATTCATTATGAGTAGTGCCGATAATTTTACGAGATTCACTATACTGAAAAGTTTTGTGGTCACTTGATCTATAGTGAAATACCATCAATTGCTTCTTTCTTCTATTTACCGTCTTCCTTCAGGGTATGAGTGATCATGTCCCTCCACAATTTCCTATCACTTGTGTTTCTTAGTAACTTTTGTCTTTTTATTATCTCTCCTAATCCCTGTTCTGTCAACCATTTACACAAGCTTATTCGTTGCTTTCCTGTCTCTCTTGCCTTCAATATGTCCTGTGAGTGTCGAATTCTCTAAATCCTCTTTCCTCATTATGTGTCCTAGAATTTTTTTCTTTCTGTTTCTAATTGTTCTTTTTAGCTTTCATTTTCCCTGAAACTTCCTCATCTAGTCGTGGGATATCACCAAACGGCTCATTAACATGATTAATTTGTCACCTCAGAGGAAGCTAGATAGATTACTTGACCAGCGGTGGAGAATCCTTAGCAAAGGTAAATATCAAATAGTTTACTTTTTAGGGGAGGGAGATCTCTGTCTTCACTTCTAATTAATCTCCTTTGATCTCCCTGAATATAATCGGGAAAATTGTAAATGAAACCGTTTCATCTCCATTGTCTAATGTGCATATATGACGTCAGACTTTATGATAAGAGAAAAAAAAGAGGAGAAAATCCTTCAGAAGATAAGTAAAATATTTGAAACCAAATTCCACTGCTGTATTAATGACGAAGTAGAAAGGAGGTCGGATGAATAAAAGAACGAACTGAAATCTAATTACTTTTTAGCAAGGACGAAACCGACAGACACAATGTAAAAAGGGACGGTGTAAATAAGAGAGCGAGGAGTGAATAAGGTAGAGGTGTAAATAAGAGAGAGGTGTAAATAAGAGAGAGATGAGTGAATAAGGGAGAGGTGTAAATAAGGCAGAGGTTTAAATAAGAGAGAGGAGTGAATAAGGGAGAATTGTAAATAAGAGAGAGAGCTGTAAATAAGGGAGAAGAGTGAATAATTGAGAGGTGTAAATAAAGGAGAGATGTAAATAAGAGAGAGATGAGTGAATAAGGAAGAGGTGTAAATAAGGGAGAGGAGTGAATAAGGGAGAGGAGTGAATAAGGGAGAGGTGTAAATAAGGAGGAGGACTAAATAAGGGAGAGGAGTGAATAAGAGAGAGTTGTAAATAAGGTAGAGGACTGAATAAGAGAGAGGTGTAAATAAGGAAGAGGACTGAATAAGGGAGAGGTGTAAATAAGGGAGAGGACTGAATAAGGGAGAGGTGTAAATAAAGGAGAGTTGTAAATAAGAGAGAGGTGTAAATAAGGGAGAGGTGTAAATAAGGGAGAGGGCCGTTAACAGCATTGAAAAAGAACATCAATGACGATATCAGGTAAATTAATTGAAACAGCGAAAGAACAGTTAAAATATCAACAAAATCGATGCAATAATTTTGAAGGCAAGAAAGAAAGAATAATGTGTAATTAAAATGAATTAATTATTATTATTAATTAAGATTCATGGTGCTTTCTCGGGTAAAGGCTTCCATTGACATGATGAAGCAACTGCTATGTCTGATGGTAGGAAAGTTGGGTCATTGTATCGTGTTGGACAATTTTTCTTGCTAGAATCTATCTAGCATATTTATAAGTCAACAATTCGTCCATGCATTGAGTATTGCTGCCACCTGTGATCATTGATAAATTCCGAAGAAGAATCTGCAATGTTATCTTGACCTGGCATCTCGGCTTCAATCACTTTCCCACCAACGTAACGTAGCTTCCCTGTGCTTTTTCTATAAATGATTTCATTGTAATTGTCCTGGTGAACTTTCATCTATGGTACCTAGACTTTATGAATTTAAGCGCAGTACTAGATTTGCGGTAAGGTCTCATCATTTTACAGTAGAAATGGCTAGCTTCAACCGCAAGTTCTATGCTAACACTTTCTTCTCTCGCACTTCTCACCTGTGGAATTTTCTTCCGGCTTCATGCTACCAAGTGAACTTTGATCTTCAAACATTTAAATGCAATTTCAATCATTATCTTCTGTCTTCTTATTTCCTGTTCGTTTATTGATTTCTCTTAATAATTTTTTTTTCCCATATTCTCTCACACTCTGTAACACCTTGCGTCTTAGTGGCTTTATTGTCTTGCTGGGGTGAAATGAAAAAGTAGAATTCTTGAGCACAAATATGAAGTCCAAGAAAAGTAAAAAGTAAACGAGAACACGCACGAGAACACGCACGAGAACACATACATACTGCTTATCAACCATTTGTAGATAATTTAAAGCCGAAATTATTTGTGGGAGGGCCGGATTGTAAGAATAATTACATTTTTGCGAGTAAATATTGCATTAATAATTTGTTAAAAATAACAATATTGTTTTCCGCTACAATTTTATTATTTAACCTGGTGGAATGAAAGAAATGAATTCATAGCTTTCCGAAGGTTATTTGCATATAAGTGAATGTAAGGAAGCCGACTGGAATTGAAACTCAGTTCCTCGATTTCTTATCTAACTTAATGTTGTGGATTTCGTGAATGGAATCCTGCACAAATAAATGAACAACGCCAGTAATTGAGATAGAAAAATAAGTGTATTAAACGTAAGAATACAGACTTGAAGTGAAGATTAGTAGTCGAGGAATGCGGGTTAGTAGAAAGTATATGTACAAATCTCTGTAAGTAAAGCCGTAATCATCAATCTCTCTGGACTCTTGTATAACTCTCTGCGAACACCCCGTGTCTGTCTCCGTATCTCTCAACCTGTCTCCACGTATCTCAACGTATCTCAACAGCAGGTGTTCTCTCTGTCCGTATAAGTATACTTTGGACGAGTCCATCTTATGTAAAAAGGGGAGAGCCCCACAACACTTAACTAGGCAGGCAATTCTTTCTCGGAAATTTGAAAATATGTTTTCTTTTCTTCTCTTGGTTACAGGATTGTTAGTGATTTCATTGAGTCGGGCGCTTCTTGCTGAAAACATTTTTATGTTCCACGTATGTTCTTCAATGATTGTGTTCTCGACACAAAAAAAAATGCCACCTACTCTTTCATATTCGTTGTATTGTTCTATCTTTTTCTTTCTAATGACACAACAAAAAGCAAATTCACTGGTGTGATTTTTGTTGTTGGCCATCAACAGAGGATTCTGTCGTAGTGCAGAACGCTGTATTTGGACACGAACTGAAATGTCACACCAGAAGCCATACGACAAAACATCAAACCATGAAGTGTGATAATATTTCATTTTAAATATTTTGAAAATAAGTTAATTTTCATTGATGAGTTGAAAATATTTGATCGAAACTAAACTTGATCCGTTCTTATATTTCGGATATGATTTTCAACGAATTGGAAATGATCTTGTTTGAGGATTTGTCGATCAACTGTTGTAACCTAGGGAAGGTTACTGAATAGAATAATCAAACGAAGGTTGGTAATGAACGATAAGACTTAGGACAAGAACAACATATATAGGATTCGCCAGCGGCGCGTAGAAGTAGTCCACAATGAATTCCACAATGAATCTCCAACTTCAGGATATCTACCAACCGCCCTACGCACTCAAATGCGACACAAAGCCGAATTTAATGTGGGGTATCCGAGCCCGTGGGCCCGGGAAAAAAATTCCCCGTAGACCCCGTATAAAACGGTGTCAGTTAGCTGTTTCTCGAGACGAGACATAGCCTCGTCTGGGGATCCTTTCTGCCCGGAGGCAGAGTTTGGCCAGCAAAACTGGAGACGAATCTCCTACTGCAGACCAACATACAGTATTTACTACTGTATTTGTGTGAATGGGGATATAGCCATTATCTTTCGTAGGTATGTCACGACATCAACATATGGCTGTCCAATCATTTTGGGGGTTAAACATTCACGTGATTATCTCATCAAAGCCACATTCGCAATCACCAAAAATATTCAATGCATTATTGATATTTGTAAAGCTTGGATTAGTCTGCCTACAGGCCATGAAATTAGAACACTGTGTTAAGATCAAAAGCACTTCATTAGTAGTGTTGATCATTGCTCCAAGGAAAAGGATACTATATTTACTTTTGTCAGCACCAACTGGGTACCCAGAGAAAATGACACAGTTATAAGGCTTTGTGAATGCAGATATATCAGGTTTGTTTTGGCGAGCCAATATTAATGACGAATGTATTTCCTTAACTACTAATCATGCATGGGCGTGTAGAATTAAATTGGAGCGCACTAATATACCTTAATTTTTGCACGGCAATGGCAGCATACACAGTGGATTAAAAGAAAATATGCTGTTCTCTTCCACCACAAAGTAGGGCCGCACGCAGCATGAATAATAGGAAACATTTGGAACTCGGATGGTCTGTTCTACTCCACATACCATATTCATCTGACATTCGAACAACAGATTATTATTTTTTGATTGCTAAAAAACGCTTCGATGCGGATTTTTTCCTAATGAAAACCAGTTTCAAATGTTCGACAAAAACGTTTTCGAATCGAAACATGGAATTTTACTCAAAAGGTACCAAAGAGTTGTCTAATAAGCGGCAACAAGTCATTGCAAAAAGAAGTGAATATATAAATGAATAAAATATAATTACACACTGTTATTGGTACCATATAACCTAGTACAATAGGTTGTATGTAGGAACTGAAAATATTCTCAAGAAGAGGAACAAGAAGAACAAGAAAAAGACAAGATAATGAAACAAGACAATGTAATGCAAAGCAACTATAAGTAAAAAGTTCAAAAAATAGGCAAAAGGGATACAGTCAATTGGTTATAACCCTCTGACTTCAAGGCTAGAAAGACAAATGTTTGAGTAAGACCAAGAACAGTCCATTTTTATTGGCTAGGAAGAAATCCCAGCATGCATCTGTAGGAATTGCCTATAAATTTGGGAAGGAGTGGTATTTTAGCAGTCATTCCTCCCGATTTACTTATTGTTTTCAAGAAGAAGAAGAAGGAGGAGGCGGAGAACAAGATAAGATAATGAGACAAGACAAGACAATGTAATACAAGGCAAAGCAAAGCAACTATAAGACAGTAAAAAAGTAAAAAGGGATACAGTCAAGTGGTTATAGCTTTCTGACTTTTTATTAGCTAGGAAGAAATCCCAGCATGCATCTGTAGGATTTGCCTATACATTTATGGAGGAGGTATTTTTAGCAATCATTCCGGAATTGGAATGTGTACTGCAGCCATATCAGCAGTGGTGTGTCTAGGGCAAGAAAATCTGTTGGAGCCCATCACACACACACACACACACACACACACACACACACACACACACACACACACACACACACACACACTCTTTCTCTTTACCTGTCTCTCCTCAACATGCCTAATGTACATCTGATTTCTTCTTTCTCTGCATTAACACACACACACACCTTATCTGTATCTCGCTCTCTCTATCACACACACATACGCGCTCGCACACTCCTTCTCTATTGAACACACACATAGATATACTCAATATTTTCAAAGTCAGATTGTGCTGCACGATTTTCTATGCACAAGGAGGTCCAGCTAGTCTACAAAATCAGTACTCGAAACACAGATTATTGCCGCCAATGCTATATATGCAACTTCTTCAGCCGCCAAGCAGATCTCAGAATTAGAAAGTTCAACACTATCCAGACGTTTGACTCACGATTTATTCGGCCAAGTCAACATACATGAAGGGCACTGAAATGTTCAAGAAACCTTTCTAAAAACAAATGTCGTGTTTGGGCGTTTCTTTTTTAATTTACTAAAATGTTTATCCAGTTAGAAGCTCAAAAGCCACCCAAGATAGAGTCTTAAGTGAATGAGATTGTTTTATGACCGTAAGAGAAGAAAGTAAGTACATATTATGAGAAAATATAGAATTTATAATGGTTGACCCTATAGGTGAAGAGTGTATTGATCCAGAAACAGGGAATCTGGTTCATAGTTCTTGGGAAAAAGAATGGAATCCGAAGGGATTGAGGATGATGGGACCCTTTGTACGTGGCATGGCTGGTCCTTAGCTTTGAAGGCTTGAACTGGTATAATTAAGGAATGTAACGTGTCTGAATATTTAGAGAAATGGTACAGGCCGAGAACTTTACAGAAACCAAAATTCGATTTTCTGTTTTGAACTAGCATTCTCTGTGCAAATATTCGCTTCTAGTTGAGAATCAATGATTTCATATTTCAAAAATGTCAATAAATAAAATAATGATTTTTTTTCGTCATGATTGGCAATGCTATAAAAACCCTCTTCTACATTGCTTTAAAATAAATGTTGATGTCATTTTGGAAATGTCAACTCAACAAGACGGAAAATAAGAACGGAAAGACATTTGATATTTTCTGAAGTTATCATTGTCAAAGGAGC